AAGCTGACTACAACACGGTTGCTAATGCCATAACTGAGATCATATTAGTACAGTCCTTAAAGAAAGAGTTGGGAGTCTCTCAAGCTCAGCCATCGGTCCTTTGGTGTGACAACATCGGTGCTACATACCTATCATCTAATCCAGTATTTCATGCCCAAATGAAGCACATCGAAGTTGGCTATCACTTTGTGAGGGAACACATTGCACAAAAGCTACTTCATATCAAGTTCATCTCCTCTAAAGACCAACTTGCTAAAATCTTCACGAAACCTCTACTGCAGCCACAGTTTGTAGGTTATGCGCAATCTTAACTTGCTTTGTACCTCGGGACACAGTTAAGATTGAGGGAGGGTGTAGACTGTATAATACGCAGCCTCTATACATGACTTGTATTCTGTATTGTCGCGGGGCATCTTAGTTAGTTAGCTGATCGATGAGTGTCTCACTGACGACCGCAGCCCCTTGAGTGGGTACTTATACATCCAAGTTAATCTCACCGAGGCACCCAGCTTAACCTTCCCCCAGCGAACTGCTTTCAACGAGTCAAAAATGAAGAATAAATAAGCAGTTTGAAGGCAGAAAAAAGAGGGGAACGCGTCCATTCCTACCACGACGCGAAGACGAAGACTGTACTTCAGAGTCCATACCACACACATAGAAGAATAAAAGGGCAGCCAGGTGCACGTAGCTCCCGCTTGCGCAGGGTTCAGGGAAAGGTCCGACAACTTTGAATCTTTTGCACACAGTTTTCCTATATTTTTGCGAGCGGCTATTTCTCGGACTTGAACCCGTGACCTTATGGTCAAAAGGCAGCAGCTTTACACACGTCAAAGAATAAAAAGGATAAAAAGTTTCAGGTTTCCAGTGCATACAAATTACTTTTGGGCCGATCACTTGTCATTGCAGCAATTAGGTGGCTTTGGAAGACTTGCTGCCTGAACCGCGGGTTGCTGCGGAACATTTGTACGCAAATACCAATTGAAGAGATGCACATAGATCAAAACATTGTAAAAATTTGACAATTGGTCATAAACAATTGTATGGGTCATTCACAATCTTACTGTTTGCACCTAAATTCCTAACATGTTTATACTAAAAATCGCATTATCCAATTAAAAGTTGTCTGGGATTACCATCAATTAATATGTAGTAATATGATTGTCCCAATAAATATTAGAACGTTTGAACACAACACGATGAAAACTTGTCTAGCTTGCCTTTTTGAAAATTGAGGCAAATATGTGCAATGTGCTAAACAGGTTGGTTGAGATAATAGTGCATATAAATTGAAATTTTCACCGACCTTGATGACTAATTGTTATGAAAATACTGCATTATGCAAGCAAGTGGAAACCGTTACTCATCCTGCAGCCTTGTTTTCCATGTGTCATTATCCCCAACTATGGCAACAAATACAACTTTTCTGCCTTCGAGAATTTCTCCTTTTAGATTATCGAACAACAAAGATTAGTGAAAAGCTAAAATAAGAACTTAAGTGCAGCAACCGAATGTGCAGGAATCAAGAATAAAAAAGGATCCACTGACTTGAAGGATACACGGAGCATGGCAAAAGAAATCAATGGGATGAAAGCACTAATGCGAAAGAGCACCTATGGGGCTTGAACATGCACACCTAGTAATTAACGTACACACTCCAATCTAACTACACACATCTGACTGAAATCAAATTAATAGGTACGATAAGAATAATCCAAAGTAATAGAGAAAATCACTATGACAATAGGAAGGATGAGTGGCATAGGCTAGAGGACACTGAGACGATGGGGAGCGGCGTCCGTGCCACAAGAGCATACCACACGCGGAGATCGCCTCCTAGCCGCCACACCCTACTTAGCCTAGGTAAAAGATTGATCGTTCTTTATTTAAAAGAGAAAGATGGAAACGGAAGCAGGGCATGGAAAAGACATTATACGGTTGGGCTTCCTTTGTTTTAGATCAGGGCTAGATATTTTTTAGATCAGGCTTAGATGAGACGATTGGGCTTCCCTTTTATTTAGAATAATTTGCTAATGGGATGGCTTCGTTGTGCAGTATAAATAAGACTGGAATCCATTTCTTTTACATTTTTTGCATGGCAGTTATGACGGCCCAAAGGATGCATGTCTCACGGCTGCATGTAGACCCATTGCTTGGTGGAGAATTGATGATGTGGCTAGATGATGATGTGGACACCTTGCATGTTTAGAAAAATAAGATAGTGAGGATGAACTATTTAGGTATTATAGATTATAGATACATGGTTTTCAATTTGAATAACCAGGAATGCATGCAGGGCCAACTTCAAGCAGGAGATGTCTCTGTTAGTTCACAGAGCAAAGACAAAGTCTCATTTAGGCCTCCAATCATGGGTTCAAGCCTTTATGCGATTATACAGTTAGGGAGCCTTCGGCCTTGTACCAGTCTTTGTACCTTGCAGTATGGAAACCTTCTTGTACATACTTTGGAAAATATAAATACATGCAGTTGGGAAACCTACTGCCCTTCCTCGAAAAATCATCGTATCACACACACATGCACCTAATAATCTCTTAAGTTATCGAGGGATCAAATAAGCAAGTTCAAGTGTTCAATACAGCACCAAGCCACAAACACACAGCAAGCAGCAGCAAGCAAGCGAGCCAAGCAAGTAAGCAACACCAAGCAGCAAACGGCAAAAACAACAACCCTTCATAGCTCCACGTAGCACCAAGTAAAAAAAAACACAAAAGTTTCCACATCATGGGTACATGACAAATTGATAACAATCAGTACATCACCAACAGGCATCAACAACACTAAAAAATTTTCACTTATTTTACACACCACTTAGTAGTAAATAAAAATATTAGCAGGGAGGATGCAACTAACCCAAAACTTTAGCAGAAGATGGAGATGGCTCGCTGCTAGTTTGGGATGCCTTTGAATTGGATGAATTTCCACCATCAAACGCTTCAATTAGTTCAAACAAACTGAAATAAATATGTAATAAGCCCACAGAGTAACAAATGCAAATATAGTAAAAGGAAATTCCAAAACAACATGTTCCTTTTTGCAAGATTGCTAATATCTCCATATCCTCATCAATATTGATAGGAGTAGAATGTCTTAGCCGATCTTGGCCCATACATGCTAAATGCCAACTCTGATGCAACCATTGATACGGGGTATGTTAACACATCACGAGCCAATAATTATATTGCAAATCTAGAAGCATTAACCTCCCACCATGCTAGAATATCAAATTTGATACTGTCCTATTTATTTTCTTCATGCAGGTCTTTCTCATTTTCATATTTGTTCGTGCTAGTTTCACACACCAACGCTCAACTTTTTAGCAATCTGACACTGCATATATGTCCTCTTTTGCTTATATTTCCAGGCTGTTCTATGTTGGAAACCCCGAGAAAAACTATGTTTCTTCCTTGTACACTGGTATTCCCAACAAAACTATGCCACTTTCGGTCCTTGAAGGGTTTTATAAAGCAGTTGTTATAATAGCACATATATATGTTACTTTCTCAGTCTGAACTCTGAAATCTCAAGTCAAGAGGAGTAAGTACGCCAGTATAGAACGACGAAAGAAACATTTAGCAATCGTCAGGATCCCGCTTTTTTGTAGTTGACTATGCAAGACAACTTTCGTCTCGTTTTGGCAGTGTGTATGTGAACTTTCCAATCGATGGATGCTCATCCATGGAATGACCCTTGACTGCTTGATTTTATATGACGAGCCTGGGGTTCCCGACGATGACTAGTGCTGACAATCATCTAATGTAATCCAACAGCAACCTGACAACGGACAACTTGCTAAGAACTCCATATTGCAGGTACAAGTGGAGCGCCAACAACCGCTTCCAGCTGATCCAAGGGTCGCCAGCAGGCAGATATATACTCCAAACACGCCTACCATTGTACTGGAAGCATGTGTGTTAGCACTTTATTATTAATATTATTAATTGCCAGGGCTAGTACATTCCAACTTGCAGATATCATCTAGTTTGGCTGAACAGGACAACCAACCAAAGCATTTGTTCTATCCAGGATCCCCCCAAAGGAAGCTGAGCTCACAACCTAACTCATTTCGACTCCTGGTACCTTCGAAACCTTCCTCTCTCCAGCGAGGAAGCTTCTCACCTCATTAATCAACTAGTGCATTTGTCTTGATCTCGCTGAGCTGGGCCTGCAGTTCTAGTAGTCAGTCAGTCAATTATATGCTTACCCTTACCAACGTCGGCATCTAAGCTGGGTGTTGTTTAGGAGTCCACATAGCTGCAATTTTCTTTTTTATTGCATATACTGGCTTGTCATGCGTCACTTGGTTGTGACCCTGCCAACGTCATCAGTGTCATCACACATTCTGCTCTGGTATTGCATACCTGCTCCCCCGCCAGCACGATCGCATTGCTGCCCGTAGACTGCATGCAAACCACACCTAGAACTCCTCTGCCTCCACTCCACAGATTGCGTCCACATATTCCTCCTCGCCACTTTCCAAGCAAAGATGCCAACCTTCTATTTAAAGTGGGTGAGCTACCACTACACACCACACCTAGAAATCCTCTTGCAAAGCGAGAGCTTCCATCCATCTCGATAGCTGAGTAATGACATCTTTGTTGTTTCCAGGCCTCGTTCGGTTTCTCTGCCTCTTCCTGGGTTTCTCTTGCAGCCTACCATTATTAGGAATTTGCGATGAAACACCGAGCGATAGACAAGCCCTCCTTTGCTTCAAATCCCAGCTCTCGCGTCCCGCTGGATTTCTAGCTTCATGAAGCAACGTGTCCGTGGAGTTCTGCGACTGGTACGGGGTCACCTACAGCGCGACGTCCCCCCGGCGTGTCATCGCGCTGAACCTTGAATCCCAAGGCATCTCTGGCACCATAGCACCTTGCATTGCCAAGCTCACTTGGCTGACAAGGCTCCAGCTGTCGAACAACAACTTCCATGGTGGTGTGTCGTCCGAGCTTGGCCTCCTGAGTCGACTCGCCAGCCTCAACCTCAGCATGAACACTTTGGAAGGTAACATCCCACCTGAACTCTCTGCATGTTCCCAGCTCCAAATTCTGGGCTTGTGGAACAATTCCCTCCGTGGAGAGATCCCACATAGCCTTAGCCAACACAAGCGCCTTCAAGAGATTAACCTTGGCAACAACAAGCTCCAGGGGAGCATCCCTCTTGCTTTCGGAGACCTTCCTGCACTGCGCATACTAGTTCTCGCCAAAAATATGCTTACCGGCACCATACCGCCGTCTTTGGGCAGCAGTCGCCATCTCACATATGTCGATCTTGGGACGAATGCCCTCGGAGGGGTCATCCCACAGTCCTTGGCAAATAGTTCATCTCTTCAAGTACTTCGGCTCATGAGCAATGGTCTTACTAGGGAACTCCCAAAGGCTCTGCTCAACACTTTGTCACTTGGTGCCATTTGCCTTGAAAAGAACAATTTTGTTGGTTCGATACCTTCTGTTACTGTCGCATCGTCCCCTATTAAGCAACTCTCTTTAAGGTTTAACAATCTTTCAGGAGGAATACCTTCCTCACTAGGGAACCTTTCTTCCCAAGTTCATCTTTATCTTACAAACAATCATTTAGTTGGGAGCATCCCAGAGAGCTTAGGTTATATTCCAACCCTAGAGATATTGACCTTGACTATGAACAACTTATTTGGGCCGGTTCCACCATCTATCTTCAATATGTCATCCCTGAAAAGTCTCACCATAGCAAAAAACTCACTTGTCGGCAGATTACCTTTTGACATTGGCTACACCCTCCCCAATGTCCAGGACCTGATATTCTCATATAACAGTTTTGATGGACCAATCCCAGCCTCTCTTCTCAAAGCATACCACCTACAAAGGCTTGACCTGAACACTAATAGATTTACTGGATTCATACCATTCTTCGGCTCATTGCCAAATTTAGTGCTACTCGATTTGGCAATCAACAAACTAGAAGCAGATGATTGGGGCTTTGTCTCTTCACTATCTAACTGCTCCAGATTGAACATGCTGGCCCTGGATGGGAACAATCTCAATGGGAAATTGCCAAGTTCTATTGGAAATCTTTCAAATAGTCTTGACTACTTGTGGCTAAGTAGCAACAAAATTTCTGGACCTATACCACCGGAGATTGGCAACCTTAAGAGTCTCAGTGGCTTGTATATGGGTCACAATCTTCTCACTGGTAATACACCATCAACAATTGGGAAATTGTACAAATTGGTCGATCTATCCTTTGCGCAAAACAGGCTTTCGGGTCAGATTCCAGATATCGTTGGCAATCTTGTCCAGCTGAGCATACTGGAATTGGATCATAACAGCTTCAGTGGAAGAATACCTGCAAGTATAGCACGATGCACTCAACTCACCATACTCAACCTTGCTCACAACTCACTAGATGGTCATATACCAAGTAAAATCTTGACAATCCCTACGTTTTCTAAAGTGCTGGACTTGTCAAACAACTACTTGTCTGGAGGAATGCCAGATGAAGTTGGAAGTCTCCTTCATCTGAAGAAAATCAACATGTCAAATAACAGGTTGACTGGCAACATCCCATCAACTCTCGGCCAGTGTGTTGACCTGGAGTATCTTGAGATGCAGAACAACTTATTTGCAGGAAGGATTCCAAAAACATTTGCCAACTTAGTCAGCATAAAACACATGGATATTTCTGGGAACAACTTGTCTGGAAAAGTACCAGAGTTCCTCAAATCCTTGAAATCACTGCACGGCCTGAATTTATCATTCAACCATTTTGATGGAGCAGTTCCGACAGGCGGTGTTTTTGACATCGCTGGTGCAGTCTCAATCGAAGGAAATGATCATCTGTGTACAATAATCCCAAAGACAGGTATGTCTCTTTGTATGGCACTGGCTGACAGCAAAAGAAAGCAGAAGCTACTGGTTCTAGTCCTAGTGATTCTATTGCCAATTGTTTTTGCCTCTGCAATACTTTTCTCTTGTATTGCAACAATTTATAGGACGAAAAGGATGCAAGCAAATCCCCATTTGCAGCATGACAATGAGCACATAAAGAAGCTACAGAAGATATCATTTGAGAAGATATCGTATGAAGACTTGGTAAGGGCAACTGCTAGGTTTTCTTCTGCAAACTTAATTGGCTATGGATCATTTGGAAGGGTTTATAAGGGAAGTCTGTAGTTTCAAGAAGATCAAGTTGCCATCAAGATTTTTGACCTTGACATTAATGGGGCAGATAGGAGCTTCATAGCAGAGTGTGAAGCTCTAAGAAATGTTCGCCATCGGAATCTTGTGAAAATCATTACCTCATGCTCTTCTGTGGATCATACTGGGGCAGATTTCAAGGCTCTAGTGTTCCCATATATGCCAAATGGGAATCTAGAAATGTGGTTACATCTAAAAGATCCTGAAGATGGTGAAAAAAATAATCTGAGTTTAAGCCAAAGGATTAACATAGCCTTGGATGTGGCCGTTGCTTTGGATTATCTTCACAATCAGTGTGCACCTCCAGTCATACATTGTGACTTGAAGCCAAGCAATATTCTTTTGGGTCTTGACATGGATGCGCACGTCATCGACTTTGGCCTAGAAAGATTCTTGTTCAGCACAGGAAATGGACATCAAGATAGTTCAGCAAGTTTGAGCCGCTTAAAAGGATCCATAGGATACATCCCACCAGGTGACATAAGATTATTTGCAAGATATTGATTCTGTTTGTTCCTTAGGGAGTTGTACAAATAATCATAATTCTCTAATTTTGTTACGTTTCTTACATGTAAATGCAGAGTATGGAATGAGCGGAGAGATATCAACCAAGGGTGATGTCTATAGCTTCGGAGTGCTTCTGTTACAACTGATAACAGGGTGTAGTCCAACTGATGAAAAATTTAACGATGGTATAAGCCTTCATGAATTTGTTGATAGAGCATTTACGAAGAATATTCATGAGGTTGTTGACCCTACAATGCTACAAGATAACAACAATGCAACTGACATGATGGAGAATTGCGTTGTTCCACTTCTAAGAATAGGCCTCTCTTGCTCCATGGCATCACCCAAAGAGCGGCCTGATATGGGACAAGTTTCTACTGAGATCCTTAGAATAAAGCATGTGGCCTCAGACACATGCATGTCTGATGAAGCAAAGAATTGGCAGGATAGTAGCAAGCAACAGAAGATCATGTAAAGAAGAATAGTAATGTACTGTTTTATGTTTTTTTTCTCCTTTCTGAATCCATTTTGAGTCATTTCATAGGTAGCTAATACATCCATGTCAAATGGCTTTGCCCATTTGCTCTGCTAATGTATGTTTTTATCTATACAAAGTAGGGAATGTGTCCTTCTGAGTTAGAGCAAAGATATCTACTTATACATGGGGTGGAGAGGAATGAAGAGCATAATGGCACATGCATATCGTATATGGACAAGCAATTTTCACTGAACTAGGTGACTCGACATATAAAAGTTCAAAAACAAATCAGTGTTCCAAACCTGATTTCCCAATGAATTTCTGAAACAAGGACTTTTATTCAGCAGACAGATCTCCCCTTCCCATCTTGTGCAAATCCTTGGAAATTCTAACATAAGCAGAATGATCAGGCGTGAGGCCCATTCCCATCAACTCATGCAGGACACTTCCCGCTTCGATGATCCTGCCAGACTTGCGCAACAACATGCGAGCAGGCTGTACTTCCTGTTTGTGGGGTGCATATCCCTGGTTCTCATAACCCCGACATGCTCGCAAGCATCTTCGATTCTCCTGGTATAAACATACCCCGATGTGTGGATTGTGATCCTTGGCGTCAGCATTCCAGGAACATCTGCCGTCTTGCCGAATCCATCTTCACTACTTTTCAGGCGTGGTGTGTGAGGACATCATACGTCAGTGATTTCTAGACTTCATCAGGTTCTTAGTTCTTACTTCAGACCTCTCCATGGCCTCAAGGAGGTCGCACGCTTCGGTGGCTCTGCCATTCTTGAGCAGCCCACCGAGGAGGTAGTTCCAGGAGTTGGCATTGCGTAGTAGCTCCCCTTACTCATTTCATCGAACATCTGGCGGGCGCCCTGGAAGTCGCCGGCCTGGCACCTTGCCGCCAACATGACATTTTAGTAGCTGGCCCTCCTCGATCACCCACACGGCCGCGCCGGACTCGCTGATGGAGGACAACGCCTTCACCAGCGATAGGCACGGGGCACCGGCACCATCCAAAGTCCTCAGAGGCCATACAGGCTTGTAATGTAACTGTGGAGGCATCTTTACCCTTCTTCTTTAATATATGATATGCACACTCGTGCATATTCGAGAAAAAAAAAAGTCCTCAGAGGCGCCCTCACCGTGCCATCCACGCTCGACCTCGCCGCGGCCAAAAGGAATGCCAACACTTGCTCGTTAAGGGAGGGTCGCCGCGCTGACGCTGCTCGAGCGCGTGGGCGATAGCGGGGTGGCGGGCCAGCCTGCCGGCGTTCTGAGCAGGTTGTGGGCGACGGGCGCTCGTGGAGATGCCCTTCCCTTGTGTTGGGA